AACCTGCCAGCTGCAATCACTAACCCTGCTTTACTCATCTAAAGGCAGCTGTTTTAAACTTTAAAAAAAAATTGTGATAAAATACACAGAACATAACATTTACCATTTTAACCATATTTAAGTGTCCATTTCAGTGGCATTTAAATACATTCACATTACATATGTTCACATTTCATACATTCATGTTACATATGTTCACATTACATACATTCATATTGTTGTGCAACCATCACCACCATCCATTTCCAGAATTCTTTTCATCTTGCAAAACAGAAACTCTGCTCATTGAACACTAACTCCCCATCTCTCCAGCCCCTGGCAACCACCATTCTACTTTCTGTCTCTATGAATCTAACCACCTTAGTTACCTCATTAAAGTGGAATTATATAATATTTGTCCTTTTGTGATCTGCTGATTTCACTTAGCACAATATCCTTAAAGTTCATCCCTGTTATAGCATATGTCACAATCTTCTTCCTTTTTAAGGCTTAATAATATTCCATTATATGTATGTACCACATTTTCTTTCTCCATTTGGGTAACTTTTTAAAATTGTCAACTGCTTTTTTTTTTTTTTGAGACAGACGGAGTCTCACTCTGTCACTCAGGCTGGAGTGCAGTGGCTTGATTCCGGCTCACTGCAACCTCCACCACCCAGGTTCAAGTGATTCTCCTGCCTCAGCCTCCAGAGTTAACTACTTTTTATAAAAACCAAAGTAATATATTCTTGTGGCAAAAAGTCTGAACAGTTCAGAAACATACAAAGTGAAAAGTGGACTTTTCCATCCCTTCTCACTCTGGTCATGGAAAGCCCTTTCTGGTGACTCTGAAATTTTAAGGCAGAAGGGCTAACTGGTTTTTATCAATTTTTTACACATATTGTGATATACTCCTCATCAGTACTTCTCAAACATGAGTATGCATCAGAATCATACAGAGAACATGTTAAAATCACAGACTGCTGGGCCCCAGCCCTAGAGTTTCTGACCCCGTAGTTCTAGCCCAAGATTCCGAGTTTCTTGTTTGTTTGTTTTTTTGAGACAGCGTCACTCTCTGTCACCTGGGCTGGAGTGCAGTGGCGTGATCTTGGCTCCCTGAAACCTGCACCTCCCAGGCTCAAGCGATCTTGCTGCCTCAGCATCCCTAGTAGCTGGGACTACAGGCTAATTTTTTGTAGAGAGGTTTTACCATGCTGCCCAGGCTGGTCTTGAACTCCTGGGCTCAAGCAATCCTTCTGCCTTGGCCTCCCAATGTGCTGGGATTACAGGCATGAGTCACTGCAACTGGCTGAAAAGTCTGGACTTCTAACAGGCTCTATGCCCATGGTGGCAGAGGGCACACCCTTCATTGAGTAGCACCATCCAAGCAATGTCCTGCCACTTGCTTTTCTACTTAGTGAATATCAACATACAACCTCAACCTCACTCTTTTTAACCACTGCATACTAGTCTGGTCTTTGGATGCCTCAAAACATATCCAATCAGTGCCCTATTAATGGACTTAATGTTGCTTCCAGTTTTTCAGGTTTGGGAGCAAAACTGCAATGAACACACTTGTATGTATACTTTGAACACTTGTGACATTTATAACCGTGCTGACTATTAAATTCGTGACTGATAAATTCCTAGATATGGAACCCTCGAGTTAATGGTTTGTGAATTAATTCTCATGTGTATTGCCAATCCCCTTCACTGGTGCAATTGTCTTCCCCCCTGCTCTGAGGATGTCTGTGTCCACACAGTGAGGGGTCGCCCATTTCAGCTGTTGTCAATCAAACTGGCGAAAAGATAATCTTCTCATGTCTTCATTTTGATTTCTTCTATTTTGACTGAGGGTGAGCATTTTCACCTGCTTGTTAACCGTTAGTATCCCCTTACCGGTTTATGTGCTTTGCCCATTTTTCTATTTGTTTTTATTTTCCTTATTGACTTGTAAGAACTCATCTGTCATCTATGTTAAAAATATTTTTTTCCAGATGGTTGTCTTTAGAATTCAGGATATTACATTAAAAACCATTTTTCTTTTTCAGAGATGGGGTCTCACGGTGGTGCCCAGGCTGGCCTCAAATTCCTGGGCTCAAGTTATCCTCCCACCTCAGCCTCCCAAGTAGCTGGGACTACAGGCATGTACCGCAATACCCTACATCATATTTTAATACAGACAATTTTTAAAAATTCTTTCCCTTTGTGACTCCTAGGTTTTGTGTCAAACTTCTCCCAATCCAAGAACATATACTTTTAGACTTTCAGATGTTTTCTTCTAGTAATTTTACGGTTTCCTTTTTACATTTAAATCTTTGCTCCATCTGGGATTTATTTCAGAATAAGAGATGAAGTGGGGAGCTGGATTTCTTTTTCTCCCCCCTTAACAGCTAGCCAGTTGTCCAATTTGATTGAATAATTCATCTTTTCTCCTCTGATCTAAAATGTCACTTTATCATATATTTAATTTCCATTTGTTCACGGGTGTGTATCTGGCCTCTACTCTGCTCCTTTGATCTGCCTGTCTGTTCTTGTGCCAGTACCCAACTATTTTATTACTGGAGCTTTCTACAACATTTTAGTAGCACTAGTCGTCCCTTATAATACTTCTTTTTCAGGATTTTCCAAGCTCTTTTTGCATGTTTATTTCTCCAGATGAACTTTAATATAATTTGTCAAGTTCAAAAGATCTTGTTGTTTTTCACATCTTCCAACAGATGTGATTTTCGGACGTCTCAGCCCACAGCCAAACAGAAACAAGTTGAGAATAGGGTGGGTTTGGTGGTCTGCCCTGGAGGCAGGCAAAGTAATGGTAACAGAAGTGATAGTTTATATGGAGAGAGTTGATGAAGTGATAAAGTACTATAAAAGTAGACACAAGAACTATGAAAATGTAGCCTTCATGGAATGAGCCTCTAGTGTGGGGCCAAAAAAGGCCTTGGATTTTCACTGTATTACAACCAGGATAGTGATGGACCCTTGTAACCACAACCCTGAGTCATGAAGACTCACATGTTCTGTAACCTCTGATTAAAAGCCCGGAAAGTGTGTAATATCCACTAGTGATTCCTATCCAAAATATCTCTTTTTAAGGTTTCAGATATTAATGTCTGGAAAACTAGTATGAAATGGTTCATTCTTGGATGGTGACATAAACATGACATGTTACTGGCCTCTCTATAGCTTTCTCAAAGCCCACCTTCAAATTCCAAGGAGCTGCCAGTTCTGGGATTTGAATTCACTCTTTTCGTGGAAACAAAGCTAAGGGAAATGTCCCCAGACTTTCAGCCAGTTCAAACACAATAATAAAAAGAAGGTTTATCTCATACTGAGCATCTGCCTCCAACATATGAGGCATGTTACAGGCAGAGTAGATTTTAATCCTCAACAGCCCCGCTGGGTGAATGCTGTACTCCCATTATACAGAAAAACTGAGGCTCAGAGGGGTCAAAAAACTGGGGCAAGTTTAAATTAGTATGTGACAGCTCTCAGCTACCTTCACCTGCACATTCCACAGACCTGTCGCCTTCAGTTCACTCCCACAGGGAGGTTCGAAACACCACCAACCCTATTCAGACATCCCTTTGCAAGGCCCTGCCACCTGCCTTCCCAGTGCCCACCTAGCCAGGAGAGCCACGATGCACAGCAGGGAGGGTGGAGTGAGGTGCCAACCCGGCCCATCCAGGGAAGGAAGACAGCCCTCCAGCCACTCACTTGCCAGTGGCCCAGGTGGCAGGCCAGCCACCTGCCAGTCCCCTTCCCGATCAGGGATTCAGGAAGTGAAGAGAGTGCCCCTGGAAGTCAGGAGACACCTCCAAGATGAAGGCCCTGCCTGCCATAGCCTGACACAGCCTTCCCGTACTTCCTGTGTTACAGGACGCAGACTCTGTGCTTACCATACCACACCTTTGTCAGCGGTGTGGGCAGAGCCCAGCAGAGTCCTGGACACCCCAGGGAGTACGAGCTGTGCAGGTGACACAGGAGGAAGTGAAAGGGAAATGAACTCCCTTGGGAGTTCCCCATCCCAGAGGAAATAAAAGTCAAAGCACTCCTTTGTTTTTCCTTCCCAAGGCCTTATAAGGGGCTTTATGGGGCTTGCCTGGGATTGAGGTACAGCAGAGGTGGGAGGGTGATGGCCTCCAGGCTGAGAGATCCTGGGGCAAAGGTGGAACTATATGGTCATGAACATGGGCACGTTCTGAACTCTGTGAACCCCTAGCCCAGGACCTGGCTGACTGTACAATCCGTCACCCTGCATCCCGTAGCAGAAGAGCCTACTACGCGCAGAGGACAGTACTGTTGGGGTGGCAACTGAAAAGGGGCCTGGGTAGAGGCGGGGTTTGCTGGAGGGGTAACAGAGTGTGCGCGGAGGGGAGAGGATACGG